CCACCTCTACCCTCCAAATTGCAGTAACTCTGAAAGTTCATTGAAGTATGACCTAAGCACGTAAGGAACAAATGCAGGTCTGCCTGTTGGTTACCGCAAACCTTCGGAAAGAACTAAAGGCAAATCAAGACACTTGTGGTGGCATGTGTTGCTCTGTTATGGGAGTGAACCTTCATCCCACAGCCTGTTTTTCCCCCCCCTCACATCAACCCTGGGAGAAAGACGTGAGTATGAGACCTGTGCAATACAGGGGTTGCCCACCATTTGTCACCTTGCCAGAGCCCTTCTCTAGGAACAGGAGACCCTTACTGAGCACTGCGTCAGGCTGGGTAGTTGGTGGTGCAGTTTGCCAGACTGAGTGGTCCCTGGCTGAAAGCCGTTGTGAGGGTGTCAGCTGATCTGATTGCTCCAAATTCTATACAAATCCCTTCTGTTTAGTCCTCTTTTCAGGTGATGTCAGATAAATCTTGCTTCCCTGAAGAACGCTTTCTTCAGACACTATCCTAGAACTTAAATCTAGGGTGAAGCTGTGGTTCTGTTGTTGAGCTGTGGCTCTGTTGTTGATTGCTGTAGGATCTAATGCATGCTGTCATTTTTCTGTGCTTCCATTCTTCATCTATACAATGTGGATTGCCCTTCCTTAGCTGGTATGTTTGCAGTGTTTGTTCTTACCTGGTGATGTACTTGGATCCTACAGTAATGTGAGCACTTTTTAAAAGGTGTGATAAGGTTCTGAAATTACTAAAGGTTCTTTGTAATGTAGGAGGGGAAAATAAGGTCTGATGTTTGAGAACCGATGTCAAAAATAGGGGAGGTTACACTTCCATAAAAAAAAGTTAATTGTAGCAAATTATGTTGATTCTTTATTCAGAAACTATGGCTCAGAAACATGATTTTTTTTTAAAAAATATAAAATATATGTTTGGTTCATAGTCATTTGGAACATTTTATCTTAAAAACCAGTAATACCTTCTTATTCTCTGGCCTTATTCCAGGAAAAGCAACACATGGGCTTGATTTTAATTTTTATGAAACTACTCCCTTGTGCCTGAAGTTTAAACACACATTTAATTGCTTTGCTGCACTGTAGATGTTTGTTGTTATTTTTTCTCTAAAAGTAGTAGTGGTGGTTTCTTGTCAGTTCCCTGAATTGTAGTCATCATTTAGGTCTGTTGTCAAGAACCTGGAAAACAAATGATCCAGTTCCAGGATAGCTACTTAACAACATCCTGGTTTAATTTGTGTATTACAACTGCATATTGTGACTCTTCAGATAGAGAATTTTCTAACAGTCACTGGATTTTTTGCATTGATGTTACCTGCGTTCTGTTTAAGTGAATGCTGTTTTATCTCTTTATGGTAGTCTTTTCTTAGGTGCTGTAAATACATGGAAATGTCTCCGCCCTGAAGCACACAAAATCCAAACAGGGTAGAGAAATGGAAACTTATTTCCATTTTATAAGTTTCAGTTTTAAGCCTCAGCTCTGTGGTGTCAAAATTAAGCTGTTTTTAACACATTTCTGCCATAATCATGATTTGCGCTATGCAGCTAAACTAATATTTCTGTCTAATTTCTTTACATTATCCTGTTGCATTTTGCTAAATTCTACTCTTAAATTTAATTAGAAAAAGTATTTTTAGAAGTTGGCAAAAATTCAGTATTGTAGCACAGGGTTTTATTCCCTTCTCGCCCGTATTTAGACATCATCACAAATCTGTGTAGCCTTAAATTTGACAGTAGCTAGGTGTGTTCTGGGTTCATAACTTTTGTGCCATTTAAATATTGTAAGTGCTGATGGACTTAGGGTGATTTTTTTCTTTTTTTCTTTTTTTTTGACTGCAGCAATAGGTTTTATATAAGATGTCTGAAATAAAGCCTAACCTTAAAGCTAATTTTGGGAAATCTGAATATCATTCTCCCCAAGTCAGCCCAATTTAATTCTGTTCTTTTTACAGTATATCTAAATATTTTCATTCTTTCCTTTTTTTTTTTTCCCCAAGTTTTACATTGTTTTATATTTTACCTTTCCCTTCACAATAATCTTGCCTTTGTGCATCAACATTGGGGGGGGGAAAAAGTAAGTCTTTGGGCTACTAGTGGCGTGTATTCGTATCCTGTATGTCAGTTTGTCACTGCAAATTAGTTTCTATGTTTGTACTTTAAGCTTGGGTCGGTTATGTTATTTAACGCCAGTGAAAATTTGGGGCAACCTCTGTGCAATTGTTTGTATTTGCTTTTTTTCTTTCCATTAACCTCAAGCTAAGATAACTGTGTTATATGTAGGTTTTTTGTTTGTATGTTTTGTTTTGGTTTTTTTTTTTACTGATACAAGTAGTTGATGTTTACTATAACTACCTTTGAATTGTTTATTGAAGGTGATCACTTTGTTCCTGCCTATGAACATTGTTTCCGTGAAGAACTGTTGGCTAAATTCCTATACTGGCTGATGGATACGTATGTTGTTGAGTTGCTCAGATCATTTTTCTATATCACCGAGACCATGTTCCAGAAAAACATGCTTTTCTACTACCGAAAGTTTATTTGGGGCAAGTTACAGAACATTGGAATTAGGTAACATTAGAAAAGTAGTCAAACGTAAATAGAATATGTGCAAACCTCGTGTGTTGTAGTGTAAAGTTACAATTCTGCTTTCCTTTGTTGCCCATTTATCCTCCTTTCATTTGCTTAATTTGCCCAAAGAAAAATCAACCTGTAATTGTAGTATATGCAGCTTGTAAATCTAGAAATATTTTGTGCGAGATAACTGATTAAAACTTTGAATTATTTCATAGTGGAAGAGAAACCTTTGCAATAAAACTCATTATGAAGACGATTATGTTTTGATAAGTCAATTTTTCACACCTAATGATGAGGAAAACACTGTGGTAGAATCTCAAAGTAACCTTGGGAAAGTTCATTTTAGAAATACTCCGTTTTCCCTAGCTGTCTTAATAAAAAAAAAAAAACAAAAACAAACCTCTGCTCCAATGCTGTAATATTCTATTAATGAATTCAGGCAGTGGGTTTGTTTTGTTTGTTTTGGATTTTTTTGAAAGTTGAGGAATTTAAAAGCTGCAGATTCTGTTTTTTAGTGCAGCTGTGTAATTCCTACTGCTTTTTAGTCTTAAAAATACATGCATGCATTTAAGTTAGGGTGTTATTTAAGATCAAATTTTAAGCAATTAAGTGAGAAAATAGGAAAAACCTGAAGGTGATTTTAATGAACAATACAGTGCATACATTTCCTTAGTTCACATCTCTTGGTTTTTTTTTTATGTAAATTGGTAGTATTTGAGAGAGCTTTGGAACTGTGCAAAACAAGCATACTCGATGTTCTGTGTTTTAATGACTGTTTTACCTGGTGTTTTAATGGCCATTTTGTATGGTGAACCTTTTGCATTCACAGTGGTCTGTTGGTCTACGATGTTATATGTGTGATTTATTTTCTTTTTTCCCCCTCCTGCCCCGCTGCTCCCTGACTTAACATTGGTATCTCCTGTGCAGCTCTTCTGCATATGTGTTTGCACTTAATAGGACCCTGGTCCTATTTTGCTTGGAATATACAATTTAAATAGTAGTAGCAAAATATAATTTTCAGTCCCGCTTTATACTGTTTGTCTTGTCTTCAACCTAATGGCCTTAGTGTTGCAATTAGTGTTTTATGTAGTTCTAGTGTACTTCAAAGGCTACTTTTTTGGCATAAAGTATCATCAAGTACTAATTTTTACATATTACGTATAGTGCTTTTTTTAGTGGAAAGATGAGAAGAAAACAAGTATTTTTTGCTTTAGCCCTTTTGTCCCTATTCCCAGTTTTCTAGAAAAATGCAAGGATGAGCTGCTCTGAACTCAAAAGACCCTAATCTGGGGTGATCGGTTTCTTCTGATTTCCTCCCCACATATTTCCCCACCATGCAGGAAGCCCCTTCTCACCTTTGGCTCGAGAAGTCCCTGAACTGCAGATTACTGGAAACTGGGAGAGAGCCCAAGGAAGTACTGCTGTGTGCTTGCCAAGGGCATGCTTTAAGGACAGGGTGTTTGCTGTTGGCTATAGGGTACGTAGCTATACGGACTTTCAGTCTGACCCCAGCAGCTGCACTTCAGTGTCACTCCAAGGCTAGGGCTTTCAGCGCTCTGCTTTTCTGAGCGTGCTTTGCGATGTGAGGTCTCCTGCTAATGCGGCTTACTGCGTTCGTACAGGTGGCAAGCTGCCCACTTCACATGGGAGGAGAGAAATTGGGGATTAGAGAGATTGTGAAACAGCTGTTGAGGGCTTCCTGGGCTTCCTTGGCCATTTCAAGGCTCTCCAGGCACCATCCCCCCTTACCCAGGCAATGTTTTCAGTCACTGTTGGTGAATCGGTGCCAAAGGCTATTGAGTTGCTTCCATCCTCCCTGGAGGAGGAGGAGGAGTATCTCACAGCCTCAGTTCTTGCCCTAATGGCTATTTTGTGGCTGTCCTGTTTCTCCTCTGCTGGAGCTGCTCATGGTAATTGCTCTGAGCTGGCTTGCAGGAAGGCGTTCACAGCCAAGCGTAGCCACTGATGCCTTTGCAGTTCTTTTGCATCCTCCTTTGGGAGGAAGAGGATGGATTGAACAGGCTGGACTGGGTGGACCTGGACTTTACTTATGAGTTTGCCTGTGTGTTGTCATTAGGAAGTAAATCCCCATCCTGAAGGGCTGTCCATATGAGTCAGTCTTCCTCTGCAGAATCCCACTCAAGGGTATAGACCGTGGTTCTGAGAGAGGACCTGCAGCTCTGTTTATTTTGCTGTATGTGTGGAGGTTAGAGTGGGCTGGACTTTTTGCACACAGACAACTTTCTATTAATTTTTGAAACTGTACCAAACTTCATACCCCGAATTGGAAATAGAACTTACTGTTTATTAAGAGAAACTCAGTATTTAATGTTAGTTAGTTCAAGTTACATGGCCCACAGAATAAAAAGTGTTTTAAAAATGAACTACCTAGTGTTGTGATGACAACACCTGTTTTTGTAAGCAGCACACCCTGCCTGCTCTTGCTACACACAGTAGCTGCTGAGGATTGAAAATGCTGCAGAAATTCTGAATCTTCCCCTGTCAGATTGTGGCAGGATGTCATAAGGCAGCAGGAACATCCTCTCGGCTTTCTCCTGCTGTGAGTGTACAAATGAGAGTAGGGTGGTTCAGTGACCACTAGATTAGTGCATGTTCAAAATCCTTAGCACTGCTGCACATGCCATGAAATGTCATGGATGTTGCTGCAGGCAGGATGTCATCCGATTCCACAGCTGGCCAGTGGTAGTACTGATGAGGATCTGCCAATAATTGGCCTTCGTCTTCACTTTCAGAGGAAGTGATATTTTTTTACATAGTCACTGATTTTGTTGGATTTTTTTTTTCCCCTCAGTATTAAATGTGAACTGCAAAGCGATGGAGATTTGATCATTTGGTTGTTTCTGTTGAACTGAAGTTCTTTGTTGTGTCTTAGTGATCTAGATAATACTAGAGTACGTGATGAAGTTTTGTGGGTTCAGGAAAGACTTTAAGTCAAAATAAATAATAGTGATCTCTAGCTGTGGAAAAGTGATCTGTCCATTGTGCTTTACTTTGGGCTACATCTGTACCAGGAATTTAATTCCAAAGTTTGAATACAAATCCTTGCTCAGTAATAGCTCAGCTTGCTGGCTCTGGATGCCCCTGTACTTTCTAGGTGTCATGCACTGTGTCAATTGGATGCCAACAGTCCCAAGCAGCTGGACCATTAGCTTGTGTGGGAGTTGTGCTGGCATAGAGAAGAGGAGTATTTATGTGCCTCTCACCTGCATGCTTGGCTTCTCAGGTGTCTGCTAGAGTGTGCTTACCGGGCTTCCACCAGCCATCCCCTGCCTTTTGTGATGGTGTGGCCTCCTTTTGCTACACGAGGCTGTTGGTTGGTGTGGGATGAGAAAAACATGAATACAAGTTAAGATTTGCATAACCCCTTCTGCAGGGATTTGAGTTATCTCTCTGCACTTCCGAGGGGATTATCCTAACCACGAGACTGTAGGGCTTTTTGGAATGGCATGTTTTGTCCTTCTGAATGATACAAGCAGTGCAGGAGATGGATCTAGGTCTTTTACATTGCAAGTAGGCCACTTTAGCAACACAATCTTCAGTAAAAGCAAGGGCTTTTGCACCACCTTCTTTTCCTGCCTCATTCCATGGGAAAGAATTGATTTGGACTAAGCTACACTGACCTGTAAATCCTGAGGGGGAAACACATTTCTTGATAGGATGAACTGGTGGAGCTCAGAACCTGTGACTTGGGAGCCTTCTGTTCTTCCTTATTCTATGCTGCTCGCTTTAGCAGGTGCCTGCTCATCGGATCAGTTCTTTTGAATCATGTTACTGGGTACCTCAATGCCCTTGTGTTGTATATGTATCTTAGGACCTCAGTTAGCTACAACTTTTAATAAGTAGTCCATCCCCTAAATGGGAGTAGAACAGCCCATTACAGTGTATAAGTCCTTCCCTGGATCTTGACATAGTTTTCAGAAGGTTCTATTCAACTTTGTTAATGTCTTTCAAGCTTCTGAAACCATGAGAAATCCAACTTCCTGTGTCTTGCATTAAAAATATTTCATAATCTTCAAATGTATTCAGCTAATCTGTACTTAGATTTTCATTTATGTTAATTAAGATTATTTTTTATTATCTTAGTTTGCATCAAGTAGAAATGTGTACTCGTGTGTTATTGTATTACATTGTCATTAAGATACTGTGAAATTGTTCTGAAATTCAGATTTCTTTGTCTCTTTCTGCAGGGGTTAGTATTTGTAATTATCTTCTTAGTAAAATATTTGGCTTCAATTATCATAAAGAGATTAAATGTTTTAACTTGCTGCCTTTCCTATTGCTTACACTAAATGTGTATTTGTATTTTAGAAACCATTTTGCCAAAGTACATCTGCGTGCTTTATCTTCAGAGGAGATTGAAGCTATCCGTCAAAAAAAATACGTTCCTATTGCATCAAAGCTCCGGTTCATTCCCAAAGCGAATGGGTTAAGACCCATAGTAAAAGTGAGCGGTGTTGTTGAAGCACGAGCATTCAGCAGGGAAAGCAGAGAAAAGAAGGTGTTTATTTTCTTTATTGTTTTATGCGGGTTAGATGTAGGCAGTTAATAAAGTGTGTGAGTTTTTTTTATGTTACAAAAAACTAGTTTTAACATGGTGAACCAGAACCAGAATGACTGAAGGGATCTACCTGTTGCAACTTAGCTTCTCCTTTCCCAGCGCTTAGTTACTGTCAGCCTCTGATTCCAGAATCGTGTACTTCTGTTTGCAGACCTGTCTTAGGGCAATGATCCTGACAGAATGGCAGGGCCTGTCAGATAATCATGTTTTCTTTCTCTTCTCTTTCCCTCAGGCTTCTAACTTAGACTGGTTGTGGTAGGCAGTGGCCATCTGTGGGAGCAGGAGGACGGAAATCTCAGAGATACTCAGTATTCTGAACTAACATGTTGTTTTTGTTTGGGTCGCCATAGGGTGAGGGACAGGTGAGCCCACCTGTTGGGGTTTACCTGAATACAGATTGTGGATGTTGATCGGCTGGTTGGTTGTTGTGGCAGGTCAACTCAGGGGGTTGAACCACAGTGGTGAACTGGGTGTGTTGCAGAAGAACGTCTAAGAAAGGTGAGGAAGCTGGATCAAGCGTAGTAGGGAGATAGGAAGCTGGGAATTACTGCAGTGTGGGAACAGAGACACACCACGCAGTGCACAGAATAACCTATTTAACAGGCCAGTTAACCACAAGACATAGTGGGAACCCGGTTTCACTGTTTTGCATGACTGCATTAATTGTATTTCCTTAAGGCTAAGTTCCATTTAGTACACAAGATTAAATGTTCCCCAAGTGGGTGAGAGGTCAATCTTGGCACTTACGGTTGAGTATGTGATCCCAGACCATCACTGGGATTTACAAGGCATCAACTAAAAGCTGTTCTGAAGTGTTGTTTCTTCATAGTCTTTCCATGACAATCAGGCTGTCAAATCTGAGAGTGTGCACAGAGTTAATTTGGAAGCAGCTGCAGTGCTTTAAAGGTGCTTTTTGCCTCTGTAACAGATCTAGCATAAAGGATGACATGAATATACTGAAGAAGACGAAAGTTCAAAGTCAACCGTGGTAGCTGGTCAAGTGGTTTGAGGTAGCCTGGCTGCCCTGGAGCTGAGAGGAAATACTTACATCTGCTGGAAACTGTGAGCAGTAGCCTCCTGTTGGAGAGTGCTGGCAAACAACCGAGGACACTAAGGTCTTCAGCTGTTAGACAGGCCTCATCTGTCTAAATTAATCACAAAGCATAGCTAATGATTTTCATAAATCCATGGAAGAGAAAGTGGTGCTAGTGTTACCTCTCTTCTCAGAGGGTAGACCGAGACAGAGAAACGTGTCTAGTGCAAAATGATCATCTTATTTATGAATTCAGGGCTTCCAACCTAACGGAAGAGATGTAGACTTTTTTTTTCTTTTTTCCAAAATTTGCATGGCTACTCAGTTTGTTTCTGTCATGGCCTTTTATCCTGTGCTCTGTTCCAGTTTTACATCCTGTACCATACCTACCTTGTCTCTGCACTCCACTTTCCTTTTAGAGTTTAAATTGTAGAAGAAAGATGATCTTCCAGTTCTTTCTGTCTGACAGTATTTCAGGTTCTTGAATTTGGAAGCCACTTCGGAATTGTAGGGGTGGTCTTGGCCAGCTTCTATAGCTCAGCACTGGGATGTATTTAGATGAATTGACAGAGATAATTGCTTGAATGTCCAGCAAACCAGCTTCTGATTCTTGGACAACTCTCAAACTTTGCTGCAAAATACATGGTGAAATGAGTCCAGTTCTGTGGATTTGTCCTCAGTTCACTGTAGATTTGGTTTTGTTTCAGAGGTTTTACATATTTGTACATTCTTCTTCCTTTTTCGTTTGAACCAATTTTTTTTTAATATTTTTAATGGGAAGCTCAATGCACTGGGAGACATCAGGATTCTAAGAGATCTGATTTGTCTGAGAGTTTTTCGTCTTTTATTGCATTCTGCAGAGATTCCAGCAAATCTTTAGGTTTTGTGAACAGGTTAACAACTCTGTTAACAGAACGGGATTAGACCTGTTCTGGGGAATTAAGAGGCTCGAGGGAATTCCTTCTACCATGAAAACGAGGAGCTAGGATGAATACTGCAATGCCAGGGTTCTCAGGTCTAGTTCAAACTGGGTTTAAAGTGAGTGTCAATTTTCTTTTTTTGACTCACCTGCTAACACCTGTGTGGCCATCAGCTTTGAGAAAAGGTGAAGGTGTGCTTTTTGTGCAAAAGCAACCATCCTGGGATAGGGTTACTAAGAAGGAAAGAAGGAACTTCTTACTTTGATCTTGCTGCTTCTATTTGCCTTTGAGATAGATCTCTGCTATTTTTGACTTTTTCTTAGGAAGTTGGCTTACAACAGAAAAGATACCACTGCAGTAATTCAGGAGAGCATCTTAATTTTCAGAAATCTTTGGTTTATAAACTGATCAAAAACATTTTGCAAGATTAGTCAATGAATGAACATAGTTACTTGCCTTATGTAGAACAGTGAAGTTGGATCCAGTTGTTTTGAAGGCAGTGGCAGTAGTACACTAAACATTTCTGATGTGCTGTAGTTTTGCCAGCTTTTCACTGAAACCCACGTTTGATTTTTTTCAGTGCAAAAGTAAATGTTTTCAGATAAATTGGAATGCTTCCATAATTAGTAGTTTCGGTGTATCCGTATCATGATCACAATAGTACCATTGAGAGTAAGAAACCTTTGATATTGTGTGTGTACGTTTTGAAGGATTTGTCTGAAGTTCTAAATTGATTCATAGCTGTGCTACGTGTGCAATTTGTTTATTTTCTTTAGTAGTATGGCTTGTCCTTTCAACATTCTTTTGTTGCCAGGTCTGTCAATATTTTTCTTCCTTAAGGTGTTTGCAGAGCTAATCAGCCTGCACAGCTTCACTGCCGCTCTGGTGTACTTTACTATTCCCACTGCTGAGAGTTAAATCTTTGCTAATGTACTTGCATAAAGTACCTCTAGAGGTTGAACTGATGGTGCAGCTGGAGTTACCTTGAAGTCTTGGCACACGTGTTCTCTTTGCTGTTCTTATTGTGGTGATAATCTCCAGCAGAGGGAATGAATGATACTTAAGAAGTTGATGATGCTTTTCTTCACTGGAGTCCCTCTGTTTATCTTCTTAACTATTACACCTCGATTTGCAAGAGTCAAGTACAGAAAAAATCATTTTCCATAGGATTTCAATGTACACAAAAAGAAAAAAAATCTCTGAGGCTGTTTTGTCACTTCCAAGTAGTTACTGCAGCTATAGTCAGGGTTTCTGAAAACCGAAGTTGACTAAAATAATATAGTAAATATGCAAATTTAATCTCATATTTCATCTAAATTTGAAATCCGTGTATTGCACAAAATTTAATATGTTTCAAGATACTTTAAGGTGATTCTCTTTGATCTCTTTAGATGCATCACTACAACACTCGACTAAAAAATCTGTTTAGTGTGTTAAATTATGAACGGACTGTAAACACCAGTTTTATCGGCTCTTCAGTGTTTGGGAAGGATGATATCTACAAGACATGGAAGAAGTTTGTTACAAAGGTTCTTGAATCAGATGGTGAAATTCCTCATTTCTACTATGTAAAGGTATGTCTTTTTAGTCATGTATTCAAACTAACTTTTCAAAGTCAGCTTCTGCAGATACTTCTAAAGCTGTAATAGCTGTAATCTGAATGCATAATTATTTCTTTTTCAAAATAAACTTTTCTGCATACCTAACACAGACTTTGGTGGTTTTTCTGGTTTTTTTTTTTTGGTGGGATATCCCTGCAGTAGCGCTTCCTTTACTTGGATATTTTTCTGTCCATCTCTCTGTCATGGAGCAGCTCTCGCTTCTGCACATGCACTGGATTTTTGCAGTTACATTTACTTGGATATGAAAACGGGACAAAAATATAGACTCAAATATGCTTTTAGGGCCGTCTTCCCAGAGAGAAACCAGGAAAACCTCGCTTTGTGCATTTGGATGAATTTAGCATCTTTTTAAAAGAAGATCTCTCGTCTCAGTATCGTTAGTTTCTGTTGAAAATGAGCATGTGAACTCTAGTGTCTCTCCAACAAATTTCTTCTCCTACTTGAAAAAAAGGAATGCTTGTCATATCTCGCTATTTGAAGGAGTTTCTTCGTAACACTTCTGTTTTTCAGTTATGTCTAGCAGGCAACCTTTTGTGTTTGAGCTGAATTCATAGCTTTAAACTGGGGCAATTTATACAGATGTCTGTGAATTACACAGATTTATATGTATTCTAGTGGGGCTGCTCTCCTGTGCTCTCATATGTCAGTTTTCATCCTGACCAGAGGTTACTTTCAGTGATTGTCTCGTTATCTTTCAAGCCAAAGAATCATGTCATTGGCATAGTTCTCCTAAGATTGTTGCTTCTTTTGGAGGTTTTGAATTTTGACTATGACGAATGAAAGCAGAGTTAAGATTGCAATATGAGGTTTAGGACGAGGAAAGGTTCTTAAAATATTTAAACATACAAAAGTATCAGCAGTAAACTTCAGTTAAATGATTGAAGGTTCAGTGTTGGATTTGAGGTTGTATATGGTACCATCTTCTGTTAAGAATTGTGCTAAAAGTGATGGTTTGGTTATCCCTTGTAAGGGAAAACTCGTTGATGAGTGAGGAAGGATTTTGCAGATAAGCAATGAGTTTTTGTTCTGTCACAAATTTGGACTGAATGATGCAGTAGTTTAATTCCTGTGTGATTTATTCTTCAGCCTTGTTTCCATATGACAACAAAACTTTTTTCGTACTATCACATTGTTTATGGTGATACTGATGAATACATAATGGAAGATATTTCTTCTATTTCAGGCTGATGTGTCCAGGGCTTATGATACCATTCCTCACAATAAACTTGTGGAAGTGATTTCACGGATCTTAAACCCTGAGAAAAGAACTGTCTACTGCATACGGCGCTATGCTGTGATTATGATTACCACAAGTGGAAAAGCCAGGAGGTTCTATAGGAGACATGTATGACTTGTTGATTTCTTCTATTTGCTGCTGTAGATGTATTTCAGTCCAAGGAATATTTTTCTTTATAGCTTTTCTTTTAGCCACAATTTGAATTAGGCAATTACTTCATAAACACTTTTAATAGTGTTGGATATTTTCCAGAGGTAGCAAAGCTTCTTTTTACTTTGTACGCTTTTTACTCAAAGTTAGTAACAATAAAGATAAATGTGTTGTGGAAATAGAGATATGCGAGGGAGATACTTCTTTTTAACAATAGCAGAGTTGTTAGATTAAAATAGTGCAATAAGACTGGCCCTCTGACCTTCACTGAATAAAAGTGTCTGTTACTGAATTTTCTATTGCTCTTGTCATTTATTTCTTTACACTCAATATACAGGTTTCTACTTTCAAGGATTTTATGCCAGACATGAAGCAGTTTGTGTCCCAGCTTCAGGAGAATGCCTCGTTGCAAAATGCAATAATAGTTGAACAGGTAAATATTGGGAGGCTTCTTTTCAGCTGAAAAAGCAAGCTACAGAAGAATTGGAGGAAGATTAGGATTTTTAATTGAGTGTACGTATTATATGGTGACATCACCTCTCTTCTACTTACCCAGCACCCTCTGTAGAAAGATTCTTGTCATCTCTTGCACCGAGCAAGAAATCTGACAAAGTGTTTTCCTAGACTTTTTGCAGATTTTCTCCTCATTGTCTCAATCTTCCGTTTTAACCAGTGTTTTCTCTTTCCTTTCCTGATTCCATTGTTTGTTGCAACAGTTCTCAAGTGAGAAATTAAGTGTCCCAGTAAAGAAAGGCTTCAACACTTGCTATCTCCAAAACGTACAGAAGTAAGAACAAGCAAAAATGTATTCTGAGCTAAGTAGCTAAGGAAATAAATGTGGCGTCTTGAATAGCAAGCTGCACTGAATAGAAAAATGACTTAAAAAAAAAAAAAAGAAAAAAGAAAACCCCACTTATTTTAATGATTGTCTGCCAAGGTTGATAAGAGTGAACTCTAAAGAAGAGTTAAAATGCAGCATAAACCAAGATCAACTCTTGTATTTTTTGTTTTGAGAGATTTCTCACTTTCAGTGAATTAAAGTATGCTTAAAAAGTATATCTATTTTCAGTTTACTCCAACTGATGCTTTGTTGCAAGAAGCAAATATCCTTCTGAGGTTTTAATTCTTGTGCTGCAGAGAACTGTACTAATTCCAAATGTTTGTTCTCAAGACCTCTTTCTGTGCAAGGAACATGACAGAGAAAGGCATAGAAGTAGATAACATGCTCAGTCAGTTTCTTAATGTGTTTTACTGCTTGGCATCATGGTGTTCCATGGTAACAACCTACAAGATTCCCGAGCATCAGGTGACCAGGCAGGTGTTTTCTCACAAGCTACTTTAAATTATTTTTTTTCCTAAACTTGTAGGTGGAAAATTTTGACATAAGGTAATTTATGCTTCTAACATAAAAGTAAAATGATCTTGGATATCTATGGACATAGGAGTGGCATGTACAGTGTGGGTGGTGCACAATTCCAAAGCGCAAAGAGCCTAATGAGTACATGGATGAAAATGAAAACTAGCTGGATCTGTGATGATACGTACATAGGTTTTGTTTGGTCTTTTTTTCCAGTGGACATCTATTTAGGTAACTATGCTAGATATTACATGAACAGCAGCCTTCCGTTTCAAAATATTTTACATTTGAAAGCAATTTTTGTGTGTATGTCATGAGAAAAAAAAAAGCATTCTGAGAAGAGTAATCACGTCAGCCTGGTTGTCTGTACCACAGGTGCATCATGTTAGCTTTTCATTCAAATAACCATGATCTCACATGGCTCTATCAAAAGCTGCATGCATTTGTTTGATGTCTAATCTATACAAATAGTAAGTAATTTTGCTTTAGCTCTCATGAAGTCATTATTAAAGGGATTTAAACTGTAATAAATTAATTTATTACACAATTTTTAACACAAAAAGCTTCATAAATATAAGGTAGACAGTCACGCATGGAATTGCTGGTAATATGTGGCAAATAATGATTTTTCAGCAGAACTGGCAAGTGAGTGTATCTATATTGGGGAATCTTAAAGAATATGACAGTTACAGAAATTGTCCTGCAGGATAGAAAGTGGCCAAAAGAGCAAGGTCTCATACATTGTAATAATCCAATATAATATGACAGCACTTAAAATGTTTTTGGATGTTATATTTAACTGTTTTTCCATGTAACACTAATCAAAACTGCTTTTCTCCTAAATCAAAACATAAAAACCCCAAATGTACCATTCACTTATTGGATGTGAGCAGCTTTTTAGTGTGATATTCAGATCTTGGTTTTAGGTGTTTTGTTTCTTACCTTAGGGGCTTGATCTACTAGTCTTAACTTTTCGTAAAGGTTTCTGTGCATCTTTTAAGTTTATACTATATTTTTAGTTTCAATGTGTTTCTGAAGTGTGAATCGTGTTTTGTTTTGTTTTGTCCCATTTCTAGAGCTTAACTTTTAATGAGACAAGTTCCAGCCTGTTTACTTTTTTCCTTCAAATGATACATAACAACATCCTGGAGATTGGGAGCAGGTAAAAAGAAGTTAGTTTTTCTTTATATAGTGCGTTTGGGTTTTTTGGTTGGTTATTTTTTTTCTGTTAAGTAGGACACATTTAACTGGCTCAGGGGATTTTTGATAGCTGTCTTTTAAAGATCTTTGAGGTCCCTTCCAACCCTAACCATTCTGTGGTTCTATGATTGTGTTTCGTGTTAATTTGAAATCTGTTTATCAGTTTAAGCTCCATAAAAGCATGAAGAGTTTGGAATCAAACTTGTATTTGAAGAAAATTTCACTTTCCCACCTCGATGATGTTAACTATACACAGAATGTGTTAATTCTATAAATATGTAACCTTCTTCATTTAAAACTGCAGGTGGAGTTCAAAAGAAAAATAATTTAAAATATTGAGATCCTTAGTGATGAACAAAAGTGGGGTAACATCCAAGCAATCATGCAAAAGCCTTGTTAGTAATTTCCCTGTAGTGCGAAATTAAACCTTTTCTGCATGGCCTTGCTATTTCACAAGTTGCAATAAAAATAAAAGGTAATAGCAAAAGAAATTAAAATTATTGGTAACTCCAAAATTAGGAATCAGATGTTACACAGGGTAGTTAGTAATGCTGATTTCTTTTTGTGTTGCTAGAAATGCTAGTCTGGTATTTACATTTTCCCTCTTGGTGGCAAGTGTGTACAGTGTCCCAGAAGCAGGTACTTGTATGATCTTTGTAAATTCAGAGTGAGGTATATAAGAATGAATTGCTTCTTGCTCTTGAAAAAATACCTTGATTTTAGAATACTTAATCTCATAGCATTGAGGGAGGAGGAGAAAAGCTTTCAAGGAGGCAAACAGAAGAGCATTTATGGGTTTTTCTAGCGTTGATGCTTACACTCCCTTTGGCAGGATCATGAGAATGCTGAGATGGCATGCCATTAATAAGGACTAACTGATATCAGTATGTTTAGTAGAAGTTGAATAGTTTTAAAGAAAGCACACACTGACAAAGCCAACTTCACACTTATTTAAATTCAGTTACAGCGTGGCTGAAAAAACACCGTTTGTCCTGAAATGGATTTGCCATTTTTGAGTAGCTCATTTTCATTTGTTTAAAAAAATACCGAACTAAAACTGCAAATAAGTTTAGTAAATAAATACACTCTTTAACTGATGGTTCTCAAAAAGCCATGACAGTTAATCAACATTTACTTGATGTTTTGAGAATCACAGAATGTTAGGGTTTGGAAGGGACCTCAAAGGATCATCTAGTCCAGCCCCCCTTCCAGAGCAGGACCACCTAGATCAGATCACACAAGAATGTGTCCAGGTGGGTTTTGAACATGTCCAGATAAGGAGAATCCACAACCTCTCTGGGCAGCCTGTTCCAGTGTTCTGTTACCCTTACTGTGAAGAAGTTCTTCCTCATGTTTAAGTGGAATCTCCTATGTTCCAGCTTATATCCGTTTCCCCTTGTCCTAGAGAAGAATGCTGATTGTTGAGCTGGGGACCTAGAAGGAATCTTTTAATGGCATTTGGTACATTTATGAAAAGTCTGAAAATATGTAAAATTACTGCTGGAAAAATTTACAAATTACTCAAAACATAGGTAAGATCACTGCTAGAATCACTGTAGAATGGTTCGGGTTGGAAGGGACCTTAAAGATCATCTAGTTCCAACCCCCCTGCCGTAGGCAGGGACACCTTCCACTATATCAGGTTATTCAAAGCCTCATCCAAACTGGCCTTGAACGCTTCCAGGGATGAGTCATCCACAACTTCTCTGGACAACCTGTTCCAGTGCCTCACTGCCCTCAGAGTGAAGAATTTCTCCCTTAGATCTAATCAAAATCTACCGTCTTTCAGTTGCTCTGGTGTCCAGTTGCATTATTTCATTCTTGTCAGTTTCATGAAGCCATTCATGTAGTAATGGTAAAATGGACATTGTAATACATTATCTCACTACTTCAAAGGAGTGTTGTGAAAATAGTTCCCTTGGGTTTTGTGAGGCATACTCGTTCTGTTGCTGCCAGCATAGGAAAATCCATGAGGTAGTGGGGAACTCTGTCTTCAGGAGCTTATCTACATTGCCGTTACTGTGTGTGTTCTTACTGGCTTTATACAAGCAATAAGATAGGGGAAGTATTAATGAACCTCCCCCTGGCTATGTCTGTATGAATTCTTTGAAGCCACAGGAGACAAATCAAGATCTACTTTTGCCGTGGTCTCACTTGAGGGAAGAGATGCCATCCAGAGGGGCCTTGATAGGCTTGAGAAATGGGCCAGTGCAAACTGCATGAGCTTCAACAAGTCAAAAAGCAAGGTCCTTCACCTAGGTCGGACCAATCCTAGGCACAAATACAAACTGGGCACAGAGTGGGTTGAGAGTAGTCCTGAGGAGAAGGATTTGGGGGTGTTTATAGATGAGAAGCTCAACATGAGCCGGCAGTGCGCTCATGCGGCCCAGAAGGCCAACCGCATCCTGGGATGTATCAAGAGAAGCGTGGTCAGCAGGTCAAGAGAGGTGATTCTCCCCCTTTACTCTGCTCTTGTGAGACCCCACCTCGAATACTGCGTCCAGTTCTGGTGTCCCCACCATAAGAGAGACATAGATCTGTTGGAGCGTGTTCAGAGGAGGGCCACAAAGATGATCCAGGGGCTGGAGCACCTCTGCTATGAGGACAGGTTGTAGGAGCTGGGATTGTTCAGCCTTGAAAAGAGAAGACCTAATAGCTGCCTTCCAATACCTGAAGGGAACCTACAGGAAGGCTGGGGAGGGACTTTTTACAGGAGTGTCCACTGATAGGACAAGGGGAAATGGGTTTAAGTTGAAGGAGAACAGATTTAGATTAGATCTTAGGAAGAAATTCGTCAGTACGAGGGTGGTAAGACTTTGGAATAAATTGCCCAGAGATGTTGTGGATGCCCCCTCCCTGGAGGTGTTCAAGGCCAGGTTGGAGGGAGCCTTGAGTAGCGTGATCTAGTTGAGAGGCGTCCCTGCCCATGACAGGGAGGTTGGATGAGATGATCTCTAAGGTCCCTTCCAGCCTATGCCATTCTATGATTCTATGATACTCTTTTGCAAAATGATGACTAGCAACTTCAGTGAGCTTTTCAAGCAGGAGAGAGGTTGAGTATAATTACAAGTAATAAGGGATAGCATTTCACAGGATGTAGTGTTTTTTCCTAGTTAGAAGTAAAATAGCTTCATGCCTGAACAGTTAAATGAGGAAATAAAGATGATTTACAGTATAGCTGGGATGTATAAAACCAGATCACATGCTCTATTGGACTAAGCAATCAGAAATTTCCCTAAAATTAGTGATATTTGTTTGTGGGGAAAAAAACCCCAACAAATAAACCAACCACTCCTAAAAAAAAAAACCAACCTCAAACCCAAGAAAATATTTTCTTTGGCTAGATCACGCTGTGCAAGTATAACAAAGAATAGACACCTCAATTTAATCGATATAAATTATTTCATAGTTAAACATTTTTACTCTGACTGTGCTGCTGAAAGAGGGTTATTTTTCAGAAAACTTAATAAGATTTTATGGTGGTGAACACGTATATTTGAATTTAATGTGGAAGTCTCCTGTTTTTGAGAAGCATTGGAAGTGTTCCCTCTCAAAATCTACCTGAATTTAATTTTTAATTCCTGGTGTAAATGTAAAATATGAGTTTCAGCCTATGGACTTTTAGTGGGCATCTGCTAGGAGCTGTTTGGATAATAATTAAATTACAGTATTGGCTTCAGTGCTGTTTAACATCTTTGTTGGCAACATGGACAGTGGGATCAAGTGCACCCTCAGCAAGTTTGCTGACCACACCAAGCTGTGTGGTGTTGTGGACATGCTGGAGGGAAGGGATGCCATCCAGAGGGACCTTGACAGGCTTGAGAAGTGGGCCTTTGAGAACCTCATGAAGTTCAACAAGGCCAAGTGCAAGGTCCTGCACGTGGGTCGGGGCAATCCCAAGCACAATTACAGCCTGGGTGGAGAATGAATTGAGAGCAGCCCTGAGGAGAAGGACTTGGGAGTGCTGGTGAATGAGAAGCTCAACATGAGCCGGCAATGTGCACTAGCAGCCCAGAAAGCCAACCATACCCTGGGCTGCATCCAAAGATGTGTGGCCAGCAGGTCGAGGGACGTAATTCTGCCCCTCTACTCTGCTCTCGTAGGACCTCACCTGGAGTACTGTGTTCTTCTGTGGTGGTCTCCAACATAAGAAGGACATGTAGCTGTTGGAACGGGTCCAGAGGATGGCCACAAAGATGATACGAGGGCTGGAGCACTTCTCCTATGAAGACAGGCTGAGAGAGTTGGGGCTGTTCAGTCTGGAGAAGAGAAGACTCTGGGGAGACCTTCTGGCAGCCTTCCAGTACCTAAAGGGGCCTACAAGAAAGCTGGAGAGGGACTTTTTACAAGGGTGTGTAGTGATAGGACAAGGGGCAATGGCTTTAAACTGAAAGAGGGCAGATTTTGATTAGATAGAAGGAAGGAATTTTTTACTCTGAGGGTGGTGAGGCACTGGAACAGGTTGCTCAGAGAAGTTGTAGATGCCCCATCCCTGGAAGTGTTCAAGGCCAAGTTGGATGAGGCTTTGAGCAACCTGGTGTAGTGGAGGGTGTCCCTGCCCATGGTAGGCGGATTGGAACTAGATGAACTTTAAGGTCTCTTCCAACCTAAACCATTCTATGATTCTGTGATAGTTTGAAAAATTAGTCCATTCCACTTTATTTCTTGTACAAGGACACTTGTTTTGAAGCTATGTAAGATGTAACATAAAGACGTACAAAGCTTAAATGAAGGGTGGCTCTGCAGCTGGAGGAGGCATTGTGGTTTGAGAGCAGTTACAAAATTTCATTTAATGACAGTTGTCTACTGGAGTTTGTTAATAAGAAAGAAATATGTGTATTAGTGTTTTTTTTGCACTGTTTAAGGTAATACTTCTGGAGTCATTTGTAGATTTCTAGAGGAAAGAGTAAACAAATTTAAGGCTGACTAGCAAGCATGTAGCATATTTCCTACTGTAACATATATGTTGTACTTGAAAAAAATAAGTAAATGTTTAATGGGTATCGAAATCTTCTTGTTGCACGTTTTGATTTTTTTTTTTCTTTTCTTATTTATTAGGTACTACTTACAGTGCTGTGGAATTCCACAGGGCTCCATTTTGTCAACCTTACTTTGCAGCTTATGCTATGGGGACATGGAAAACAAATTACTCTGTGGAGTGCAGCAGGATGGGTAGGGATGCTTTGTTCTGTCCTCTGTTATAGTATTGCAAAATATATAGTATATGTGTTAAATATTTTATCTGAAGTTTAATTTTGAATTTCAAGGATTTCCAACTCTCCATGGAGAGTGTGGTGCACACAAACATCTCTGGAGCTTCAGTGTCACTGTGGTTGTTTTTTGGGGGGACTTTCCATGTTTGTCATAAGATTGGGAAGAAAAGTGCTGAAAAAAAGCTTTCCCAGATCTGTGTGAAGGAGACTTATTCTTACAAAAAGCACAGTATTTAGGGATGCTGTGAAGAGTCTGACAAGCTGCTCTTGTACATCTGAGAAGTTTATGGTTCTCCCACGCTAATTCCCACAACGTCTTCGATCTTTTGTCCTCAGACAAGACGGGATGTTTGTTATAGACTTTCTGGTAACTCTAGGCTTCTGCCTGAGGGCTTTCCAATTCACTATCTGTAAATCTAACATTTTATCAAGGTCACAGCTTTATTGCAGATTTTTTACAAGGCATGTTGGTTCTTGTTTGAAGCCCTGTGTGGCTCTTGATACCTCTTCTAAGTCTTTGTGCCCTGCTCATGCTTACTGCTTAGGGGCTTGACAGAAAACTAGCCTGATAAAAGCTCTACCTCTTTATTAGCTGTAAAAACATTGGGGTTCCTTTTACCTTCATATGAACTGATTCCCAGCTGAATCCCAGGTTAGGGTCTTTAGCCATGAGCTGGACCCTGAAGCTTGTCTGTGTTCACACATCTCCCTCCGTTTCTGTGAATTCTGTCCAAAGAAAGAAAAAAGAAACTAAGTAGTGTGTAAGAGTACTCCAGATAAGTGCATCTGTCTGGTGGCTCTTTTTGAGAGACTCACTGGTTGATGGAAAGTCTCAGAATTTTAAACATTTCCCTGCACAAGTAGTGAAGTGTTTTTCTCATAGGCTTTCGGATGCTGTAATGATGTGAGGCTGAACAGCATCTTTTGCATTCAAAGGACATTGTTTATATATACTGAAATTACGAAACTGATTCAGAAGAATGCACTCTTTAATGTAGCAGCTATTTTTATATAGAACGGATTCTAAAATGTTACTTAGGTGTTTGTTGGAGTATTTTGGTAGATTAATTTGGCCTTTGAGTCAAAAAAATAACATGGCTATTGACTTGGCTAGGCAAAGAAACAGCTGATCTGATCATAGTGATGGCAGTATTCCTGCTTCGAAGAGGAAACTGGACAAGATCATCTCCAGAGCTTTCTCTTTATGATCTACTAGGCAGGAGTTATCAGAAAAATATGAGCATGCTTGTGGGCTGATTTCTATTGAAAAAGAAAATTCCAGCCTTTACAGTGGTAGGACTGTAGTCTGTTCTATGTTGAAGTTATAGCTTCACAAACAAGTTATTGCATGGTAAACAAAAATACAGAATTAGAGCACATCAGGAATCTGGTATCTGCTTGTGTACCTGGTATTACACCTCCTTTACTTGTATTGTGGATTAAGATACTGCAAATTCTCCCTTGGAAAAGTGTAAAACCCTGGATCCAAGAAGCTGCTGTGGAGTAGCTTGTGTGCTGTAAATTCCTGTCATGTTTCATGTAGCCAGCCCCTTTGCTTTCTTATTTTTATTTTTTTTTTCATTTATTTTAGGAAAGAAGCAGAGCTGAGAATTTCTTCATGAGACTCGATTGGAGATCATATTGGCCTCTACCTTCTTGTGAATTAAAATGGGCACGTTGTTGCTCTGAAGAGTATGACAAAAATTTGAAAGGATTACATATCAAAAAATCTAACATCAGTTTCTTCTTGATTACAGAGTCCTAATACGTCTCATTGATGACTTTTTGCTGGTTACGCCACATCTAAAGCAGGCAAGAACTTTTCTGAGGTATGCTATTAAAGACATAGTTTTTGAAGTAATAAGCCTTAACACCTTTTAGGTGATTCTTTTTCATCTTTATACATGCTTGTACATGTAGATATGTTTGTTTTATGGGTTAGTAATCAAGGGCTGTTTTGGAGTCCTTGCTGGTAGCTTGTGCCTGGGAAGAATCTTAATAGCTACGTTCTTGATGGCCAACTAACAATCTGTTGCAGCTCAGATGATGGGAGATT